GACTTGGTACACAGTAGGGCTACTGAGTGAGACTGGAAATACAAAAGAAATACCCAACATGATGCTGGTGGCAGGGGCTGATGATGACTGTTTTAGGACTAATGTCATCATTTATGTTAAAGGAATATGGGAGGAGTTTAACAGTGGATAAGGAGTAATATTTTGGGCATAAGGAGTGTTAGATACCTAGGAAATGTCGAGAAGAGCTCTTTCCTAGTCTCTGCAGTAGATTTATGTGGTCGGAGTTCAACGTAAAGGCTAGAGCTGCACTCATAAATTATAGACTCACCAGCATGAAGGTCACTGTTAGGGCTGCGCCTCAACTTGCCAAAGCATGAGGAGAGGAAGGGCAGAGGGTCTAATTTGGGAAAGCTCCAATATTTTTGTGAGGTGGACAGCAGAGTAGGCTATAGAAATGAGCAAAGAAGAACTAATTGAATGTAACACCAATGTAGACATGTATTGACCCACACCTGCTCACCTCCCCACCTATTAGTCAGCGAGAGTTGATACGTTGAGAAGGAGTGACATGCCAAGGCTGGGATGACTGTGATGGGTACACCGGGTTCATGGATGGAAAAGATGAGGCATTACCCTTAAAGTGTTCCCAGTCTAGTGGGAAGAGGGGAAGAGGAAGCAGAATGAAGAGAGGAAGTGGGCAATCAATTATGTTTGACTTTTTGTCTTTTAATCCTCCCCTACATTGAGAATTCTGAACATCCTGGAGATTTTCTGTATCGACATCCCATTTCCAGAGGATCCTACCTCAAAAAATTGTTTTTACACGAAGGCAGGAGATTTTACCTGATGTGAAAGTAGGGATAGTGCACTTCGTTATCATTAAAAGGAAAGAGAAGTTATAATATCTGTCATCAATTTACATGGAAAATAGCATGAACAGAAAATGATTTAATTGTGTTAGGTGTAATTTTTTTTTTTCTGGAGTCAGGTTAACTTGTCTGCATAGCTGTCTAAGGATGCTTTGAGTACTGACAATTTTAGTGCTTTAAATACTTGGCTGTGCTTCTTCAGAAATGTACTTAACCATCAACTGGAAAGCCAGCCTCTAAAAATATAGCATTACATGGAGGAATTATTCAGAGAACTTCTTTAAAATATCTGCCGCATTCTATCCTGTAATGGAGTTAGTCTTCCTTGACAGGTCTTGGGCTTCAGACAGAACTCCTGCTATGCACTCGGCTGCGGAAGGATCAAGCCCAATAAAAGTCACTGAAATAGTGTCAACGTTTCCAAAACCAGCACAGAATTGAAGTTTCGTGGGGTTGTTTTAAAGTTGCAGATGCAAATGCCTGTGCTTACTGAAGCAGCATTACAGAGACAAAGAAACTTCGAGGCTGTCTCCCCCAGCTTGTCCTCTCCCTGACTGCTCACGGCAGCTAGATAGCTCATTATTTAGTTGATATTTCCAAGGAGGCAATTCTGAAGTCAGCGATAGTGATGTTTCGTGGGGCGTTATTACTAAAATCTAGGTAGTGGCAAAGGGATGTTCTGTTGCTCATTCTTGGCCCCCCATCTTTTCAACTTGCACATCCTCTCCTTTTCCTGTTTTATGTCATTCAGTAATGACCTTAATTCACATCACGTCAAGCTGTTACATTGATGTTGTGACCAAGTGGAATGAAATAAAATATGCTAGAGCTCATCATTCATTAATTCATCTTTCTTCAGTCTTCAATTCCACTGTGATACATTTTGATTTCCTCTTTATTGAGGAGTTTTAATAGGAAGATCTGGGTCTTTTGCAATATTATGAAGTTTAATATAAACATACTGGTATTATAAGTATATTTATTTTGCAATGTAGAAAAAAAAAGCTGTTGCCTCACATTGCTTCTGCATGTCATTCCAGAAAGCTCTGTTCTTGACAATATAATTTAGTTGTTTCATGCAGTATTACCGCCTATATTTCTTTTGCATGCTGTTACATTTTGTGTTGAACATGTCTTCAGTAAGAGGCTAACATATATATCTTATAATTTTTTATTTTCACTTTACCTATTCCCATTTTGGTTTTTGAGGAAGATTGTGAAAATTAAATTTGTAATTGTGTTTTGTGCTAATAGAGCTATTTGTAAGGCATTCTAAAACTAAAGGAAATTTATTTAAAAAGAGGGCTTTAGTTTCTGTTTTTCATTTGATTAAAAAAAATCTTGAGTAAATATTAAGTTCTTCAGTAATCCCAGGGTTAATAATCAAAATATCAGTCAACCAGAGAGATAGAAGCACTGTACAATGAGAATGAGCGTTAGCCCTAGCTCTTGAGCAGGTCCCAGAGGGTCTCTGGTTCAGGTGTTAAACCTATAGGTGAAAGATGGGCAAGAAGGATGCTCGGGTGATATTCAAGGCTGCAGCCAAGCAATAGAAGTGTAGTGTTGTAGCCATATACCAAGCAATGTGGAGGTTGTTTAATACATTAACAACCACCATTGATAGACCAGAAAGCCTCAGCTCAGTAATGGCTCTCTCTCTGTGTCGCAGATTACATGCCACATTTTATTAGAGGGTGGTGGAAATAGAAATCCCAGTGGTGTAAAATCACATCAGGTTGTTCTATTCCTGTTGGCCTGCCAAGCCTTCTGGGTACTTGCTGATGGAGGCAGTAAGAACTCAGAGCGCTGTCTCCGCTGCCTAGAGGATCTGGTCTTCATAGAGAAGATGACCTAACGTGCATGATGTCACCTGCATGGGGAAGAACCAGGTCTCAGTCTACTCATGATGGTTTCCCCGCCCCTGGACTTGTCAAGGCTCAATAATGAACCATTAGTGGTGAATGGCTGGCTGTCTTAAAATGTAAGTTTTATTATTCAATTGTGGCAAGGTCAGTTGATCAGGAATCTGTTGCCTTTGAAAACAGTTACTCACAGCTTCCAAGTGGAAGGAGTAATCCAGGATGTGAAGAAGCCCTTGGAGAAGCACGACAGTCAAACCAGAAGCAGAGGAATATGAGAGTGGATTCTGTGTGGTTTCCTAGGAGAGAATGGGTGAGGCAGGGTGAGCAGGTGGACAGTAGAGACAACTTCAGTGGCCTGCAGGAATATAGGAGCTGTTTGGTGTCCAATCTCTGGCCTGGAGCAGAAGAGGCTGAATAAGGGAGGTGTGTGTACACATGCGGGCACATGGACACGCACGTGTGTAGTGGAGGGAAGGGTGATGCTTGGATCTAGAGTGGTGAGTTTGCACATGAAAGGCATGCTCTCAAGCATTTGCTGTTTGGGGGAGTCTGGCCCTGGGAGGGACAGTGTCTCTAGAACCAACTTGGTCCCACAAGTCAGATTCAAAAACATAAACATGACAATCCAGGAAATGACACAAATAGCCCTTTGTCCTTGAAGATCCCGGGAAGGCAAGTAGAGAGGTTTTCTTTCTCATTGCTTTCTTTATTCCTTGTACCAATGGGTACCGCTAGCATAGCCCTTAATGTTGATCATTAGTTATAGCTAAGATTTATTAAGCCCTTACTCTGTGTCCGGCACCATCCTAAAAAATTCACCTGCACCAGCCAAATTAGTGTTCTCATTGCCCCATGCAGTAGGTACTGCTGTGTCCTTGTTTCATAGATGAGGAAGCAAGAGCCTTGAGAAGTTATGTAACTGAGTCAAGGTCATGGGGACCAGTGTTGCTCTGCGCTCACTCTGTACTATGCCAAGCAGCTTCAAAAAACTCAGGGAAACTATGCATGATGAATGGACCATGTGTGGATTTCAGATTTTTTTTTCCACGAATAAACTTAGCTTTTTCTTAGGATGTGTTGTATTTATTTGAAAGATAGAGTTATAGAGAAAGAGGGAGAGGAGACAGGTCTCACATTCACTGGTTCCCTTGCCCAAATGCCTGCAAAGGCTGGGGCTTGGCCAGGCTTGAGCCAGGGGTCAGGGGTTATTCTGGGTCACCCTTGTGGGTACAGTGACCCAAGCTTTTGGGCCATTCTTTGCTACTTTTCTAGGTACTCTGTCATGGAGCTGAATCAGAAGTAGAACAGCCATGACTTGAACCAGTGCCCATATGAGATCTGGCACCTTAGGGGGCAGTTTAATCCCCTGTGCTACAGTGTGAATCCCAACAAACTTAACCTTTAGTTCAGTTTTTCCACAAAAAAATTTATATTCTTTTTTAAATTTATTTATTTTTATTGGAAAGAGTTACAGAGAGAAGGAGAGACAGTATGATCTTCCATCTGCTGGTTCACTCCCCAAGTGGCCACAATGGCCAGAACTGAACCAATCCGATGCCAGGAGTCAGGAACTTCTTCCAAGGCCCCATGCAGGTGCAGGGTCCCAAGGCTTTGGGCTTTCCTCTGCCGCTTTTCCAGGCCACAAGCAGGGATCTGGAAGGGAAGTGGAGTCGCCAGGATACAAACCGGAGCCCATTTGGCATCTTGGGGCATGCTAGGCACCAACTTCAGCCGTTAGGCTACCATACCATGTCCTTTATACCCTTTTGTCATCTCTATCTCATTGTATTCTAGTTGCCTACTCACAGGCCTGTTGCCGCAGCTTGTTAGAACAGCGCAGAATGCTGGATGATTTCAAAATGTTCCTCTGTGTATTTCTTGTCTGAATCACAGAGTAGCCATTTTAAAAAATGCCTGGGACATTGTGACATTGTTTCTCTTTGACAGCCTGGTCAGCTGGTTAGTATCTGGTGACAGTTTGAGGGCTGTCTCAAGGGAGGGACAACTATTTTATGGCTTCTTTTTATTTGATGTTCTCTGAGAACGGAACTTGGGAAGAAAGAAATGTATGACTCTACCATTATTTCTGTTACATGACATCTGTGCTTTACTGAATCTGAGTTCTCAAAATGCATGCGTTGCAGGTGCCTGCCTTTATCAAGAAATATGTGAGATGTACTTGGTGTGTGCTTATGAAAGCCAAATGAATGTGCAAAACTGACTCCAACCTTGAAAAGTTTGCATGAGAGATGTAGCTAATCTGTGTCCTGTGGGGTTTTCCTGATGGTCTTCTCTGCCTTTCTCCTAGCCTGTCACCAATCCTGTCTGAGTTGTGCAGGAAAGAGCCCACAGAACTGCACCGTCTGCAGGCCTGCCCATGTGATGCTGGATGGACGGTGCCTCCTCCAGTGCCCAGATGGCTACTTTAACCAGGAAGGTGCCTGCACAGGTGAGTACGCAACGTGCTGCGCATGTTCCCAGCCCCGTGTTTTGTTTTCACAGTGCAGCCAGACTCTGCCATTACTGTACCAGGGAGTGATGTTGGGCTGTGAAAGCTTGTCCTGCATTTACAGGTCAAAGGCTATAGTGTTGAGAACAAGAGGCGTTCTGTTTGTTCAATAAGGGTGTGAACTCTGAGCTGGGTTCCCTCTTTGCTGAGAGGCCAGGAACCTCGTGGATAATGGGAGCGTGCATTGAGGGTCACCACTAACTCCACATCTCAAAAGCACCAACTTTCAAACAGATAATCTGGGTGTTTTTTTTTTTCCATAGCTGATAGGAAAAAGCCTATTGTAATGAAATTGTATTCTTGGAGCCCAAGAATATGTGGCAAATTTATAAAATACTTTTAAGTACATTAACAATTGAATTGGTAAACTACTTTTAGTCTTAATTCTCAAGAGGAAGTTTAGAATGGACAGACATTGAGATTATTTCTGATCACCAGTTGTTTTTATTCAGGAATTTCCTTCCCTTTCCCAAGAAGCTTTTTTAATCTCTCTGGGGCTCTGTGGAAAATTACTTTAAACACCAGCAAGCTCAATGAGGGAACACCCCTGGTACCTTTGTCATTGGGGTTGCTCTTGAAGACTGTTTCCCTGCATGATTTCTAGTCCCGTAGTCTTGCCTGTGTGTGTTCAATCATTTAGTAAAATGGAGTCTGAGAAACCACCACTTTCGTCTGTCTGCCTGAAGCTCTCAGATGGATGGTACCACCAGCAGCAGGGCACCCAGGTCATGTGAAAGATTCCAATGGGGAGGAAGAGCAGGGTGGTGGAAATCATCCTGAGAATGCCAGAATCTTCTTTGGCAAAGGCCAGAGTCTCAGGAATGTAGACGGGGTGATAGTGGGTGCTATCCTAATCAGTAGGTCATTTTTTTTTTTTTGCTTGCTGACTTTTTATTATACCTTATCTCCTCTTGGCTTCTTGCCAAAAGTGAGTTTACTCCAAATCGGTGCCTTTGCTTTCCACCAGCCACGTGCCAGCAGGGAACTCATCAATTCCAGCAAGCTCAACCCAGCACCAGCCCCTCCACTCCCCTCCTCTTGGACTTAAACTTGGATGGACCTCCTTGTCCTTGGCAAAGAATCCTCCCATCTCCTTCCACATGCTTGCTCCTGCTGTCTGCATTGGCAGCAGAAATGCAGCTGCAGTTGCAACCTGCTTTGATTCCCTGCCATGCTTATCTTTATTGTCTGCACCTTACAAGGACTCCGTTTTTGTTGTTTTTTTCTCTCTCTCTTCAGTGTAGTACTTCTTGTCATTAGGTGGTTATTCTGGAGAAGACATAGCTTTGACATAATTTTGTTGAAAGAACTGAGCTCCAGATGTAGTCCATGATAGCTTCCACAAAGAGGATTTTTTTTTCCTGTTCTTGGTATTTTAATTAAGTATTACTGATAAAACAGGCATTGGAGTCATGGCCTGAAGGGAAAGTCTGGCTGGCATCCGACTGGGGTGAGAAGTTTCTGTATCACTGGCTGTGGACCACTGCCCCTTTGCCAGCACTTCTGAGCACGTTCCAGTCTTGCAGCTTGTTCTTCTTAGAATCAGGCAGCAGGGATGGGGGAGTCTCACTACTGCTGCTTGTGCTGTGAACTTGGATTTGAAGTTCTTGACTCACAGAACTGGATGTGGTCATGCTGGTCCTTCTGCAGTGAGTGGATTGATTACTGAAATTAGTGTAGCTCCAGATTCTGTATGTGTGTTGAGACTTTTAGGGATGAGGAATGTTTAGCCCTTGGGCCATGTGAAGCCCATGAAATCATTTGATCTGCCAACCACAAAATGAACTCGAAATTTAATAAGTCTATAGCAGACTAATTTTTCAATTGTTAATTTTGCAAGGCCTGGGGAATGATGTTATAAATACCCAAAGGACCCTTGGCAGAGAACAGCAGGAACCTCACCCCTTCCTGTAGAGAGGGTTCACATTGATACCAGAAATGCAGTTGCCTGCAATGGCGTGCCAAAATTACTCTGCCATCTTCAGTTATTATAGCATGACTTGTGGAGGGCGTTGAACATGCCCTGTGTTTACATGTTGACCTGTTCATTTCAGTTCTAGCTTTTATTCTCTTCCCAAACCCCAGCATGCCATCCAAGCTGCAGGCAGTGCCACGGGCCATCAGAATCTGACTGCATCTCCTGTCACCCTCGCATCACTCTTAGCAATGGAATCTGCAGGACCAGCTGCAAGAAAGAGCAGTTCCTCAACCCTGTAGGATATTGCACTGGTGAGTGACCACTCCTGCAGGCTCCCTAGGAATCCTTGAGGCTGCTGCCAGGGATTGTCACTCTGGGCTGGACGGGGCCCTCAGACCTGACCTCTGTCTTAAAGTCCTGATTTCTTGTACAGGAGACACCATCCCCCCAACCTGGGACTCACCTCATTGCTTCTCCTCAGGCGTTGCTGAATTTTGTTAGAATTAAATGGACCCTCTAATAGTACTTTTGTCAATCCTGAAGAAGAAAAAAATAGAAATTCATATTAATGAAGAGTGAAATTACCATCGCAGTAGCTTTGCATGTATTTGATGACTTCATCTGAAGAGAGCAAAATGTATTCTTAAAACAGTTTCTCTGAAGATGAACTCTCTTTTCTCTATTATTTCCTGCTTCTTGCTATGGGGAACCTTCACAACTAGCCCTAGGCATGATATTTTAGGGAAATTAACCTGAAAGTAAATCAGTTTGCCTCCAGAGGCTAGAGATTTTTTTCTTCTTATATTAGAACTTGGATCACAAAGAAGAAAAAAAGGTAGGGAAGCAGTCTAAAATGTGAATAATGTTGGGATTATTTGTACTTGTGTATCCTTCTGAACAATGTATACATAGCTACAAATGCACCCAACCCCACATATAAATATTTGATGTGGCTACTAATAGATGTTCAGAATGCAAGGAAAAAAAGACAATTACCAATTATGGGTTATCATTTTTCCTGGCTGCCGCCTCTAATTTATAGGGGGAACTCACAGGCATTTGCTTTCAGCAGTTCTGAAAGGCTTGAATGAAAGGCATTCTGAGATGCCACAGGGAGTATGTAAAAATTGAGTAACTTAGGATCTGGGATGAGGAGTGCTGGAGTGGTTGATCAGGCTATCGGATTTGTCTTTGTGTGGCTAGTTGGCTAAATCACAGTACCAACAGGCACATGAGTAGGTCTGGGGTAGCACAGATACTTTGATATCTCTCCACACCCCAACTCTGGTGTGTGGATCAGCACAGAGTAAACCCATAGTGGTACTGTGGTGTGGCTGGTGGTGTCATGGTAGGAATGATCCATTCCTTTTTGTTCATGATCTTTATATTAGCTATTTGTTCGTTCTAATCCCTGAAAAGACCCAAGTGCAAGGCTGCAGCTGAAAAATGCTAGGATTCAGAACAGAAGCTGAGCCTTGGAACCTGTGTAAACATTCAGAGGCAGCAAAATGTGGAAGCTCTAAGTCCAGGCTTAAAACTAATTAGCATCTGTGGGGTGTGAGTTCATTGGTCGAGTTGCCAGTTATAGTCAGGACTGTCTTAGAAGTTGGGAATGTGAGAGATGCTAGCGCCTCTCCTCGAAGGAGAATCTGGCAATGGAAGGGACTGTTACCGCAGTTGGTAAGCTGGAGTTTGGCTACTAAGTCCTGCTCCAGGATGAGGAGGAGCAGCAACCCTGAGAACTAAGATGTTCCTGACATGGTTAAAACAAACTAGTGCATATTTACTGAGAAACCACTGAGCGCATGGTAGTGAGGTGTTGTGTCAGGGGATACAAATATTTTCCAGACTACTTAAGAGCATGAACTGAAAACACAAGTGCAGTGAACACGTAGTACAAAATAAACTATAGACAATAATGCCACAGGCAGTGGAGGCTGCATACATTGAGCACAGGGACAATAACGTAAAATATGGAAGGTCTTCCAGAGGAGGTGAAACCTAAAATGCATGCAGAAAAGCAGGGCTTTGTTTGGACAGATGGAGGGCATGAAGGCACTCAGAGTCTGGGTCTACCAGCAGACAGACACACAAAATGAAACAGGGGAGACCATCAAAGCCAGTGAATCATCCAGCCTGGCTGAAGAGTATGATTGCTACTAAAGCATATTAGATCAAGCGATTGGGGGATTTAAATTGGAATTGGAGTGTAGAGGATTTGTAGGTTTCAGGTCAGAAAGCTTGGGTTGCATCTTGTGGGTGAAAGGGCTCAATATTTGCAGAGGACTATAGTTTGACTAAGCTAGCCTAGAGCACAGAAACATTAGAGCCCTGGAGAAAAACAGGCAGGTGTTATCTTGCATGTGTTGTGGTGTGTTTTATAAACAAATGTTTATATAAGGAAATTTGAAAAATTTAATTTTTAATGAGCTCTGTTCTCTCCAATGTCCATAGCTCTGTTTGATAGGAAATTGGGTGATCAGGAGTAGCATTAAATTTTTAGGGCTAATAGGGGACTGCAAGAATAGAGAATCATGGGACTGAGCTAGGTGACTCAGGAAATCCCCAGCTCTTGAGAAGCAGGTCCCACAAATATGTGCTGGAAAAAGTCAATCCTAGCTGTCTTGGGAGTTAAGACTGTTAAGTAACAGTTTCAAATGAAGCAACCAACACCTGCTGTGTAGAAATCCTTGGCTGAGTGAGGTCTGCTCTGATAGTATTTTTTTTATAAAAAAGCTTGACCAGTAATATCAACTACTGCACTTTCTAAGAAGTGTGGTGACCCCAAAGTTTGCTGTTTCACTAACTGTGCCTTTTCTAAGCACATCCCACTTTTCTCTTTAGTGCCACAATGCATTCATGTCTTCAGTGAAGTGCTTACTAAATCCATGGCCCATGTTGGCATAGTGTTGGCCTTTGGGGATACAAAGATGAATTAAAGGGTTGCAGCCAAGAAATATGTAGCTGAACGCAAGGAGGCAGATAGGTGTTAGTTCACTAAGGTTGCGGTAGCCAAACATGACATTTTACAACAGAAAATCATTATCTCAAAATAAAAGTTCTGGAAGTCCAAAGGTCAAGATGCAAGGGTCAGCAGACTGGCATGCTCGAGGCCTCCATGCATGCCTTACAAATGGCGGCTTTCTCCTTTTCTCCTGCTCTCTGTGTATGTGAGACTCTGCAGTCTGTCTTAATCTCCTCTTCTTCTCAGTATACCCATCAGCCAGAGTGAGGATCCACCCTGAACAGCCTCATTTCAATTTAATTAACTCTTTAAAAGTCCTGTACTTAATTATAGGTGCCACCGAGGTACTGGTGGTTGGAACCGCCATATATGAATTTTGGAGGGAAGTAATTCAGCCAGTGATAGGAGATATATGCTTAGTAGGTCATTGCTGTGGAACTCTGTAGTAAAAGATTTGAAATCAGCCTATGGGATAAGCCCCCAACCTATACAATAGGGCCTGTGTATGTGTGTGTGTGTAGTAGTGTATGGAGATTTTTTGGAATACATCACTACTGAGATAATTTTGCAAGGACAGTAAGAATTAGACTGAAGATTTGTAGATAGAGGGTTCCAAAATACAGGTGAAAGATTATCTGTTCAGATGTCCATAGACTGAAGTAGAATGCCGTTCCCAAGTAAAGTAGTGGTGAGTCTCAGATAGAAGGATGCAGAGCAAGGGAGGGAAGGCTGCTGTGTGGTCAGTTTCAGAACAGCATTCTTTGTCATCAAGGCTGAGGGACCTCTGTAAGTTTTAAAGCAGGAAGTGGCATGGTTGTATTTCTGTGAACAGAAGGACCTCCAGACGATGGTTGAGAAGATGATGAAACTGAGCAGGAAGACTCTTTGAGAGGGAGAGTCAGGAATCCAGGCAAGACAAAAGGGCGTTTAATGAGAACATTGCCAGGGAGATGAAGAAGAGATGGGAGTCATGGTTCCCTGAGGATTCATGATCTGTCAGGTAGATCCACATAGCATTGCTGTTATTGCTATTTCGTGTGCAAAAATAGTCCAAGAGTGGCAATTGTATAGGGTGCAACTTCATAGAAGCAAGAAAGGTCAGTGATTTCTCAACCCTGGTGGCTCACAGGGAGGAGGCTTTGCGCTTGGCTCCCAGGTTTCTGAACGTATGAATCTGAAAGATGGGAGTACCAGTTGCCAGGGACAGGTGCAGGTCTGAGAGACAGAGAGGGAAACATGTGTTATTGAATTCAAACAAGGATTAAGGGTAACCTGATTACATTCAGAGGGAACTGTCCTGGCTGAGGGTGTAAGTGGCAGTGTTGCTAACTATTACCTTCAAGAGCTTATCTCCTAGTTTGATTTTACTCTGAACCTAAAAGTCTGGAATTTTCTTTACAATTTTGCTTGTTTATCTTAAAAGCAGACTGGAAGAGAGACACACACACACACACACACACACACACACACACACACACACACACACACACACACACACACACACACACACCCCTAGATATCTAGAGATCTTCTGTCCACCGGTTCATTTCCTAAATGCCCACGATAGCCCAGTCTGGGGCCAGGCCAAATACAGCTCTATCCAGGTCTCCCATGTGGGTGCAGGAACTGAAGTAGTTGGGTTATCATTTGCTGTCCTCTCAGGCATATTGGTAGGGAACTGGACTGAAAGTAGATCAATAAGGATTCAAGTCAACACTCTGATATGGGACATGGGACTTACAAGTGATAGCTTAAACCACTGTGCCACAATGGCTGCCTTGGGAATTTTTAAACTGAAGTGTCATATAAGGTCACAGGTTATCTCATGGGATGTTCATGTGCCTCTTAACTCAGAAAAGTGGCAGTGGAAGCCATGTGGTGACGGACAGTAGAGGCTAATCCAGGCTGTGCATTGCTGTCTGTGGAATGTTCTTTCTACATCCTTGAGAAGCCCTAGCTCACTGGAAGTCTTAGAGAAGTGTTGTGGTCTAGGTTTGGGCCTAATGTTTATTTTCTAGGTTTTTGGCTTTTACTTAAAAAAAAAAAATTATTTGAGTACTGACACAGCTTAAGAGAGTGATAAGGTTTATTTAGAGGATGAGAAATACAGGCATGCATGGGTCATGTTCAGGGAGAAGGAGTTGAAAAGTAAAAGCGTAAGGAAGAAAGGGAGAGAGTACCTTCTGTCCTGGGATCCATCCACGTGCAGCAAAAGAACAAGCAGTGCTTGAGAGGCCTCGAGCCCAAGTGTGTAAGAGGCTGGACGAACAAAAGTGTGAGCGATGAAGTACACCACAAAGTGAACTCCCCAGCACAGGCGTTTATAGAGGCTTGAAAGGGGGGGGG